AATAAATAAATAAATAAATAAATAAATAAATAAATAAATAAATAAATAAATAAATAAATAAATAAATAAATAAATAAATAAATAAATAAATAAATAAATACGACCACTACCTGCAGAAAGAATTTCCAAGAACTTTTCCCAGAAATATGGGTCTCTATATACGTCGAGGTAAGTAAGATGCGAAATAAAATCTGGTATATTGCATTCACTCAAAAGTACAGGGATGACAAGCTTCTTTTCTCGGATAAGTTGTTCACTTAAAACCATCTGAGCCTCGTAACCACACCACGGGCTGTTGGTGAAATCGGTGGACAACACCAATACTGTTTTCTCTGTTTTTCTAATGCAGTCTATGATATTGTCAACGATGGGTTTACCAGCGACGAAGTCTCTTTCATCAAAGATGCAATTTATGCCATGCTCGGTTTCCAATTTTTTTACAGTATTATTGACCCATTGTACGTCCTTGCTACTGTAGGAGAAGAACACTTTGGCCTCGTACTTCTGTTTGGAAATACAAACCTGCCCTGACGAGGCGCCGTCACTATTAAGATCCATACTCGCAGACGGCATTTCTATTCCATGCACGGTCACCTCTGATGAGAAAAGTTTATTCGAATTACCAAATGAGTAAATACATGCAATGTGGCATATACGTTGATAATATATCAATTAGCTAGGTGATAATAAAATTGTGTCCGTCTAAAAAATGTCCAGATTGTACATACATAGGACTATAACATTTTGCCCCAGTGTATTCAGTTTATACTTCAATTTTTGTACTTCAAAAGATTTGTAATGGTGAATTTCGGAATTATTAAATGAAATTTTTTGTTTGCCATTTGTTAGGGCAATCATACTCTTCGTACATTAACAAAATGCTTTTAGATATTAACACGATAAGCTCGATGAGTTCATATCGCATTCACGAAACGCTTCCGTGGCGTCAAATTACTTGTGAAAACAATGTCGTTCAAGAGCTTCTTTTGCTAGATGGTGTACTGTCAAACATAGTTTTTAAGCATATTTAGTTCATGTATCCTTTCTCAGTTCCTCGTCTTTTCTCTTGAGTCATTATCCAAAAAAGCTACGATTGTGCAATAAATATTATTATTATTATACGTAGAACGTACGTGAATATTTTCATTGAAAAGTTTGCTTTAGAATTTTTGAAATCAAAACCCCAGTTTTCTTCACAATCTACCCTCTATCTTAATGACGTACGTCGACTTACTTCGCATGTCAATTATAACAAAACAAATGACGCACCTCGCTCATAGACTAAAGTTCTGATTGGACAATCAATTTCTTGTTATATTATTGTGTGGAAGGTCGGCTTAGTTGGCAGGGGCAACGCAATGTCTGAAATGAGGCCGACCTGAGGTCATTCCATACAATATCGAGTAGAACTAAAAATGCACTGGCAATTGACATAAATTTTCGTGTCATATTTATGGCGAAATTATATAACGATAATCAAGTATGGTGACATTCATAATGTACTAAAACGACTGTGTTATTTGTTGTGATCATAGTCGCTTGTTACACGGAACTAAAAAGGGGTACTTCTAATCCCGGAAGTCCTGACCCCACTGCCCTCGTTTTTGTTTACCGTAGTTAGCTGTCAAACTATATACATATATTTGACCTACCGTCGTTGGAACTTAGCTGACCTTCTTGACAGTGAACTTCAATCTCAAATGGTATATGTTCGCTCATTGTGAAATGTCTTCAACAGTATAGTGGTGAAAGTGGAATTATGTTGTTGGATACCACTTGTATAGCTACTATCGTAGGTGGCGCTGCTGACACATCTTTTAAAAACCACTGTCAATATTCGGCGAATGTTGTGGCAATGTTTTGCCAATATTTACTGACTTGCATCGATTTCGCAAGTTATCAGTACATTGGTGTGTATACGTCTAGAACACCACATTTTGGAATAATCCAACCCAGTCAGGAGAACCTATTCAAGTATGCAATTTCTATGGAAACATACTCAGTGACACATTTTTGTTTTGCACATTTTCCAATGACATCAAAAGTGACAATATGCTTGAAAATAGGTTACAAATATCCGCATTAGCTATCATATTTTTAAATATTCGTTTAAATTTCAAGAATGAAATATAATAATGTACATTTTCTGTGAATCGTCTATAATCGAGGTGATTACATGTATTGTAATTCCTGACAACAAGCAGGCATTTTCACGTACAAATGTTGCGACATATGCTATATTGCGGTCGATGACGCACTCAGACACCAATATCGTGTGACGCTGAAACACGCACATAAACGATTAGAGGTGTGAATCAAAGCCATGGAAAATAAGAGAGATACAGATAACTCATGTGTTCGATTCAAACAATGGAATGTTGAAATCAGAATATAAATCAGAATAAGAAAATCAAACAGAAACAAAACTAAAAGAAAAAACAGGGTTCGCTGACTTATTGTGCTGACACAATCTGCTAGATGAGTAATTTTAATTTTAAGAAGGACAATGAATACATTAACTCTGTTTTGGCAACTTCAAGTTTTTGAAAGTTTCTTATGTTTGCTTTTAAGGCTTTTATTTTGTCATTTTCGAGTTTTGGGATGTAATTATAAAATTTGGTTGACTGTCAAGAAGATATCTCCCTAGTCCATTATACTGTAAATCTTTCATATTTTTCATCACAACACTGTTTCAATTGAAAGTACAGTTTAAATTATTAATATGTGTATTATATTATAAAAACATTTTTTCTATCAATGAAAACAACAGTATTTGTCGGAATATTTTTTTGTTGAAAATAAAAAAAATACTGTAAACACCCAAAAATACACTTTTTCAAAATAAAACACTGTTTTACAAGGACATAAAATGTGTCATTAAAGTTTTTATTGATGAAACATTTATGGACTAATGAAACCATATTCATGCCAGTAATACCAATAAAGTTGGTTGAAAAGAAATTAAACAATAGCAGGGATTCGAACTGGCATATAGATATTAACTTATTCGGGAAATGTTTTGTTTTGTTTTATGGTGTTTCAACTTTATTAAATTCAAATTCTTCAGTTAGCATATCAATGCCATCTAAAGCATCAGGCTGTGGAAGAATTATTTCTATGTATTCTTATATACCTTCAACCTATACAAGTAAAACAGGAAATCAAGAAAAGTCACAAAGCACCTTGTAATCTAATATAGTTTGATACTCTATTTGATGAACGGTGTTGGTGGTTCAAATCACATCAGAGCATTAAAGCGCGGTGGTCGTCGCGCACCGCGTGTTCGAATTTCATGTAAATAAACATTGTATTTTACACGCGTTGTATACGTCGCTATGAGTTCCATATCGAACAGGACGCGACACGACGACTGCCGCCCTTTAATACCAGAGATTTAAACAAACTGTTCAATTCAAAAACAAACGAATCAACGGTGTTTCAAAAGGAATACCAGACTAAAAATTGTTCACAAAGTGCAAATGTGTAAGACTTATTTGTGCTCATTAGAATAACTAAAACACTTTTATTCCTAAGTGTTTTATTTTGAAGTATTTCAGAAAACAAACATATATGCTATGTTTCAACCTAAAACACCCGACTATATACATTTCATAAGTGTTTATGTATAAAACATTACAGAAGTTCATGAGAGTAACTAAACACTTATTTTGAAGCACTTTAAAACACACACACATGCAATGTTTCAACCAAACACACCAGACAAAATTTTGGTATTTTCAATAATAAACAGTTTTATATATTTGTGTATTTTTGGAGTATGTATACTAAACACAAGTCAGTAACAGTCAAGCGTCAGACCCATGCGTAGGTGAAGATTCCCCCGCTTTAATGCTTACCATTTTTGACTCCCATGTGCGAAGCACACAATGGGAGACTTTGCATTTTTAGCTGTTCCATGACTGTTCCACTGATATCTCATATCTAAAGAATCACTCATTGGATTTTGATGAAACTTGGTACATAGATGCTCTGAACTAATGCTAGGTTTTGATTAGTTTTAGGTAAAAATCTGTGCATATTAATTACCTAATTTGCATAATGAAGTCAATTTTCGGCTTTTCCACTGATATCTCAAGTACTAATCATCACATTTCAATGAAATATGACATAGGACACTGCACAGATCTGATAGTTTTTAGGGTAATATCAGTACATATTATTAATTAATATTCAGCTTTTGATATTTCAAGTACTGTAGTAATCATTACATTTCTTGTTACATAGATACTCAAGGACTATGCAGAGATTGAATGTTTTGAGATAAATATGTGTGCATATTAACTACCTAATTTGCATAATTAATTAATTTTCAGCTTTTACACTGATATCTCGAGTACTAATCATCACATTTCAATGAATCTATGACTATGCAGAGACCCAATTAGTTTTCAGTAAATATTTATGCATATTAATCACCTAATGTGCATAATTAACAAATTTTCAACTTTCACACTGTACTAATAATCACATTTCAATGAAACTTTGTACAGGGATGCTGTAGGACAATAGACAGACCTGATTATATGTGGGTTAACATCTGTACATATTAATTACCTAATTTTCACACTGATATCGAAAGTACTAATTTTTAGTCCCCGTTCAGACAGTCCTTATGTTTTGACCCTTGAAGTTGTGCGTGCGTACGGACCTGACCTGTATCTTAGACATGCCTGGACTGATTACATTCAAACTTCACACATACATCATACATGATATTATACATACGCACATTATTTTGTTTCACGATCTGGTTCAAGATGGTTGAATGGTGGCCATTTTCGTGCTAAAAAATCATCAAAATCAAGCATTTATGGATGGATTTTATTCAAACTTGGTACATACGTTGGACATTATGGGACCTTGATGCACATCATTTTATTTTTCAGATCCGATTTAAAATGGCGGCCATTTTGTTTTAATGAATGCAGTTCTAGTGCCATATCTCTGCCATGCTTCGACTGATTAGGGTCAAATTTTATATATTCATTATACATAATGACATAGATATATTGATTTGACTATCTGATTCAAAATGACCAAATGGCAGCCATTTTTGTGCTAAGAAATCATCAAAAATCAAGCATTTCTGGCATTCCAGAACTGGATCTTGGCGTTTATTGATGGATTTTGTTCAATCTTGGTACATATGTTGGACATTATGGGACCTTGATGCACATCATTTTATTTTTCAGATCGGATTCAAAATGGCTAACTGGCGGTCGTTTTGTTTAAATGAATGCACTTCTAGAGTCATATCTCCTATATGCTTTGACTGATTATGTTCAAATTTTATATATTCGTTTTACACCATGTTATAGATATATAGGTGTATTTGTTTTAATTAATGCTGTTCCAGAGCAATATTTCTCATATGAACACATACTCGTTTGACGATCAGATACAAGATATCAATAATTGTAATGTTAAAAAATCATCATAATCAAGCATCATCTTCTGCATCCATACTTCTGACATGTTTATGTTCCAACTATATTACTATAAACAAAATGATATACATGTATAAATTTGATAACTAATGGGAACTGTGCCATGCATGGCTTGTTCCATACCAACGAAACCTGGTACAAAGATGCTCTAGGACAATGTACAAACCTGATTAATTTTGGATTAAAATCTGTTCATATTAATTCCCTAATTAGCATAATAATTCATTTCAATAAAACTTGGTGCATAGATGGACTGTTACATTGTGAAGACCTCATTAGATTTACACTAAAATCTGTTAATCATATTAATTTTCTGATTTGAATAATTAGGTTTCAGCTTTTCTATCAATATCTCAAGTACAACTAATTTCAAATTAGTTTTTAATGTCTTCATTACTCTCAGCACATGGGAGTTCTTTCTAAGCTTTCTTTGATTAAATGTTGAGATAAACGTTGTGCTCTTTACTTAAGACATGTGAGAAGAACCTAGCTCTGAAAAACAGTCCTCTTGTAGCAACGAGTACTGTCTGGAACTAAGAAAGATTTATTTTCTCAGTAAACACTTAACAAAACTGACGGCTGCCTAAGGTTATTTGTGTTTTTGTAACCACAAGAACAAAACAATTAAGAACATTACACACCATAGTTAGTAATCAGTAAGATATATTTATTGACTCCATGGTATACATGAAATGATTTGAACTGAAGTGTTTCAAAACGAGTTAGCACATATAGCACCACTCATGTTCAATGTACTGCTGAATAGCTGAATAACACATCAGACTATTCTTACATGCTTGTGCATCTAAGAAATAAACGCAAATATCTAGAGCATTATATATTACCCCTACTCTAAAATATACATCAATCTTTATCAGTTCAAAATAGTCAAAACTATTAATATGATACATACATACAATCATTTTGTGTTACAATAACAACAAACTTTCTGTTTAGTAATGCTAGGAAAGCCAACATCATTAACATAAGTGAGAGTAAAGACACTCAGCTGCGATCAACGAAAAAAGCAGTCTGACCTTCTGTATTCAGTGAATTTGAGCATAAATTTTGTGCAATGTACACCCAACTCACGAAAGTGTACTAATTCGTTTTATCATTCTTCAAAGTCAAAATCGTTATTTTTGTCTTTGTGAATAATTAATGGCAGCATACCTCAACCACTTAGTTTATTTTTAACTTAATCGCACATGTTTGTCAAATTAAATTTAAAACTCCCATTATTGACCAAACACCTATTGCATTCGAAAAGACATTTTATATATATATAAAAAAAAGTATCAGATGCTTCAAATTTTCTTAGTCTAAAATCAAAATTATTTATTGGCCAAGAATGATCCTTGCAATTGGCCAATAGACTACATATTGCCAAACCATTATTGACTGTATTCATAATGCTGCTGCAGAAAATATTAATATTGTGTTTATTCTTTATTAATTCTTTTTGACAGACATCATTTCTTTAATGATTTTTTCAGCTTTGTCCAATGTACTTTCCTCCTGTGTAATAAAAGCATACAAGAGTTACAAATGGATTTTTTGTGATTGTGGGCAAATGTTTTAAAGCTTTCCCAAACAACATTTCACTTTCTAGGACAACTTTTTGGGTAAATCATACCACATTTTTGATCTCAGAGACAAATTTACCACCTTTCTAGGCAACTTTCCTGACCTTTACAACAAATGTTCTGACATTCCAAACAACTTGTATGCTTTCCCAGACAACTCTCAGGCTGACATTCTTTCTTCTCAGATACAGCAACAACTTTGCTAAATAACAAACAACTTCTTTCTCTCCAAACACCTTACTGTATTTAAGAGACACATTATCAAATAGCCTTAAAAATAACTGTCTATGCTACTTTTCTGCTTTTTCAGTAACTTTTCCTCTCTTCTAAATAGTTTTCCGGACTAAGATAGAGATACAACTTTTAGCCTTTCCAGATTTTCAAGACGGCTTTACTGCCTTTACAGAAAAGTGTCCCATCATCCGAGTTAACAAACAAAAATGTTGTGGCCTCGATCTCATTGTATTTGATTTGCACTTATTTTGTTTATAAAATGTGAATTTTACCAAGTTACAAATTCAATAACTATCCCAAGATGTTGTTCAAGACCACTATATCAATGTATAATCTGTTAATGACAGTGAATTAATACAACATAGTAAATTTTTGTACATCAGTGACACATTATGTTGGCTTTGAGAGCACACTGGCTGCTTCCTAGACAACATTATTGCTATCCCAACCTCTATGACAATGTGGTTTAGGTTTTGGTAAAAACGTATAAAAAAATGTGATGATTACTACTTGAAATATCAAAAGCTGAAAATTAATTAATTATGCAAATTAGGTAATTAATATGTACTGATATTAGCCTAAAAACTATCAGGTTTGTGCAGTGTCCTATGACATCTATGTACCAAGTTTCATTGAAATGTGATGATTACTACTTGAAATATCAAAAGCTGAAAATTAATTAATTATGCAAATTAGGTAATTAATATGTACTGAGATTACACTAAAAACTATCATGTCTGTGCAGTGTCCTATGACATCTATGTACTAAGTTTTATTGAAATGTGATGATTACTACTTGAAATATCAAAAGCTGAAAATTAATTAATTATGCAAATTAGGTAATTAATATGTACTGATATTACCCTAAAAACTATCAAGTCTGTGCAGTGTTCTATGATATCTATGTACCAAATTTTATTGAAATGTGATGATTAGTACTTGAGATATCAGTGGAAAAGCCAAACATTGATTAATCATTATGCAAATTAGGTAATTAATATTGCACAGATTTTTACCCAAAACTAATCAAATCCGCACAGAGCATCTATGTGCCAAGTTTCATCAAAATCCAATGAGTGGTTCTTTAGACATCAGTGGAACAGTCATGGAACAGCTAAAAATCAGCTAATTATCATGCAAATTAGGTAATTAATATGCATGAATTTTTACTAAAACCTAATCAAATCTGCACAGAGCATCTATGTGCCAAGTTTCATCAAAATCCAATGAGTGGTTCTTTAGATATCAGTAAACAGTCATGGAACAGCTAAAAATCAGCTAATTATCATGCAAATTAGGTAATTATTATGCATGGATTATTCATTTCACATGCTGTCAGATGTTGTGTCTTTACTTGTAGGGTTTTTTGCTGTGAGGCTTTTGATATTTCAAGTAGTAATAACCTCATATTATACAGCGTGTAATTTTATGAGAACATAAAAATTTGTTGGCATTACAGAAAGATGCATATAATTCAGCTCACCTTGATGAAGCAGAATCTGATATAATTTGCTCCTAAATGTTTGTTTTCAGGATTGTAGAAGGCACTTGGTGGGATAGCTCCAATACCCTGTGGATTATAAAGACCAATAATTCAACATATCACATGCTGAGGCATTTTTTTCCATTTATTTCAGCTATCCTTGGAAGCACTCAGCTGGCAATATGTAATTTTTTTTGTTTGCAAAGTCTGTACCATACTATTATTGAATTTCAGTGTAGTGACTAACATGCTAGACATACCAACATGATGCAGTACAGAAATGCTTAGCAAGCTTGTAGGGCAATTGGAGCGAATTCTGAGATGTTCAGTGAATCAATCAGCCAGTCTACACTTATTTTGACCAATCTATTAGAAGTTGTATTGTTTACATATACTGTAAAATACTTTATTTTCACTTGAAATTAATTTTTGCTATTTGCGCTAAAGGAATGAACAAATCAAGCAAATATACCATTTTTCCTATATTTTACATTAAACTTGTCAAAAATCAGTGAAAATTAATTACATTCAAAACACCCAAAAAGTCTTTTCAGCGAAAATTACAACTAAAATAAAGTATTTTCCATTAGTGCATATATATTAGTTGAGATGCAACAGAAAACACTTTTGATATATAATGCACTGGAATCTATAACAATATATTTATGAAGATAGTGTGTAACTGGAAAATTAATAGTTAGTCAATAATTCATCCACAATGTTTGCATTTGCATACATAAACATCTGAACATACCAAATGATGTGGTAACACCAACGTCATTTTGACTCGGTATTACATTGATTAAAATTAAAAAATGATGTTGCTTTAATTTATTCTGATATATTTATGTACAATATATTTTTCAAGTTTGATCACACTCATTTATTTTCTTGTTCAAATGACAGTTTTTGTTTCACTTACCTTCTTCTTGGTCAAATATCTAACTAATTTATAATCTCTTTGACCATCTCCAAGTTCAGGGTCATTCAAGTCAATGTCTGAAATTAAGCGTAAGATGCTAATTGTTAAGTTACCATATTAATTTAGTGCATCTCTAATAACAGTGCACATACATGTAATCCATTTATTGTAAGCTGGATCATCAAGATTCTAATGATAGGTACATGTCTTTTATTTACATACTAGGTGCTTGTACTACTAATATAAAGATGGTATATGAACCATAGTAATCCAGAGGTAATCTTCTTGAATTAAAAACTGTGTAATGTACCCTGTACCCTGGATGAGTGTGCCACTGACTCAATGGAAAGCAAAATCCACTGTACCCTGGGTGACTGTGTCATAGACTCAATGGGAAGGAAAAATGCACTGTACCCAATGTGCTTGTCTGTTATAAAAGTAAAATACAAAAAACTTACCACGTGTAAAGTCTGTAGCATCATGCCATCATGAAATAACTTCCTTCTGGTTTAATAGAAGTTAAAACTTACCACGTGCAAAGTCTGTAGCGTCAGCCATCATGAAATAACCTCCTTCTGGTATAATAGGAATTAACCCAGCATCTGTCAGTAATTTAGCCATTCTTTCGCGCTTCTCAAATAACATACTTTGAAGTTCTTTGAAATAACTGTCTGGTTTGTCAAGTCTTGCGATTTCCGTCTCAAATGCAATGGCAGCAGCTTCCTACAAGTGTTAAAAAAGAATGTGGTTGCTTAGGAATAAATTTTACATAATATAAAATTCTACAAATTGAAATTTCACAAAACCACTCAAACTTTTCTTCTCATATATAAATGTATATATTAAATAAAACTTGCTGTGCAAAATAACATGATGGAACATCTCAATTTTTCAGGTAATATCAGAGGTACATTACTTGGGGTTTGCAAGTAGCGTGACATGATACCAAGATCCCGTTTCAATCTCGCTCTCACATAAACGTTCCCAACTCAGAACAATGCACATGCGCATGCCCAAGGTACATGTAACTAGGATACTGGGAGGTCTAGGTGGATCAAAATACTGCTCACGACATGACGGATTACAAGAACAATATTTTCTGTACATTTTCACTATGATAGTGGCGAGACATGTTTTATTGTTTTATTACAAACCACATATGTCATGTCAGAAGGTCATAGCACCAGTCTCGCTATCTACGAGATGAGACTTAATTGCAAACCCGAAGTACCGGTAATGTACCTCTGGTAATATTAAAATATAGTTTTGAAAAAAATATATGATTTCTTATTATTTTCAAAAGGATCATGATTTACTTTTTCTCATAGAGACTGTGTAATAGGTGTGTAATATAAATATAAGATTTTCTTGAAAAATGGGTTCAATGACCCATTTTTTTGTTTAACAGATATAATGTAATAATTGTCCAGTGTAGAAAAAATTAGAGAATTCTCAAAGTATTTGTGAAACTGTATCTATCATTTTTAAACAAACTGCCTGTAGTATTGAGTACTCTTTTTAATTCCTTTAAATGCATGTAGTACCCTGTGAGGTTTTCTTGGTTTTGTGCATAATTTCACTAATTTGTGAAATTTCCCATTAGTGCCAAAGCAAGGTGAAAGATACATATTTATGAACATATAGGTAATGTTGAAATTGTGGTGAACATGTTCTATTGGGAGGAACAGACATAATATGTCACTATGATAAACAACTCAATATATGAACTCAGCTGTCATATGAAATCACTAGTCTGGAAATTAGGGCAATAACATTTCTGTTTCCATCATCAGAAGTCCCTTTCACATATAATCTGGATTTGTTTTTTGAAAACTGATTCCACAGCAGTCAACAAGCTGACCCATTTCATTTTGACTCAGAATCCCTATAATATCAGTTCTGTTAGAGCGCACACTGTTATACAGCCCTCAGTGGTAGAAATGGCAATGAACATCTTCACTCCATAATAACTGAGGCAGAATATACTGATGAGACATATTTTTTACAGTAACTTTAGTTTGACCATACGTAGATACACACCTTGTCACATAAGAACATATGCTAGTTAAATGGGCAAATACTTGTTTGGTATTTGTGGTAATTTACAATTATGACATTGTAAGTGAAAAGTGGTAATCCTACTCAATTTCCCAGCCAGAATTTAAATCCAAATGATTGCAAGTTTTAAATAACATTTTTTTTAAATTCACAATTAATTTGAAAATGTTATATTTCAGGATTATTTTGAGTGGCAAATGTAGACAACTGTGATGAAATGTTTGCTGAC